GGGCTGCAGGTAAATATTCAAACCCCCAAAATTTAAAGAACTATGACTTGAAAAATTAAATGTGTTTCTAGCTATCAATAACACCGAAGGGGTACAAGGATATCATAAGCATTGTTTGAAACTAAAATGTGTGCACTTGCTAATTTTTTATGCATCTGCTATATACTGAGTTTACCTAATTTTCCAGCAGCCAATATAGTATGTAACCTACCCAGTTCATAAATCTTTTGCTGCATAGTAAATCATTCCCAAATTTAGTGGATTATAGCAACAGCACTTTATAATTTTTCATTATTCCATTTGTTGACAATCTAGACGGTCTTTTGTTGGCATCCTTCGGGGTTGCTCATGATGCTGAGGTCATCTGACAGCTATGCTGGCACTCCACTGTCCAAGATGGTCTCAATCAGCTGTCTGGTTGTACGTGCTACCATTGTGGGTCTCTGGTTGTTCTCTATGTGACCTCTCATCTTCTAATATACGGACTGGGATTCTTCACAGCCTTGTGATGTCAGGGTTCCATCAGCTAAATCCTGGACTCTAGAACTCTTATTACTTTACTTCTACCACATTTATTTATTAAAACAAGTCACCAGACCAGTTTAGACTCAAGGAGTCTATAAAATAGACTCTACCTCATGATAGGAAAAGGGGTAATGACACTTAACGAACAGGTATAAAACAGTGAGTTATGGTTTACTGAGGATCATTATGATGATTATCTACAGCAGTGCCATCTCTGGCCTCAATGAGTCATACTCTCTCACATGTAAAATGCACTCCCTCCTGCTTCTCAAGACCCTTTCAAATATCATTTAATCAACACCAGATTCAGGCTCTGAGTCTGGGATCTCATCAACTAAATAAGGTCCAGATGTGGATTACACACCCCACATACTCAACCTACAACAATGAGATGGAGACAAGTAACTGCAATAGATAATCCCACTCTGAAAACAGAACTAGGAGGTGCATAGTAAACACTGGTTGATATGGTTGATAACAATTCTCCTTTTCCAAAGTCAGGGAATAGTCTTTGATTAAAGCTGAATTATTCTCCCTGGAATCAATTCTCTAATCTATTCTTCTTCTTTATTCTTGGCTCTGTCCTCTCAGCCTGTTTCCTTTATAGAAAGTTGACAGCCCAGAAGCCTCTTCTCATTTTGAACTACCATTTAGTCTAAAACAATACGGCATGCTTAAACTTTGTGGGTTTCCTATGTATGAAATTATGTACCACTTCATTACATAAAGTCATGCCAAATTCATCCTATAGCATGCCATTTTAAATTTGGGAGTTGTTGGGAAATAGCCTTGAAATAGAAGCCCCTTTTTCTACCTGAAAGGTTCTAGTGACCCCCACCTTAAACTTTTCTGAGATTTTCACAAGTGGTATTATGGACATACCCTTGAGCCATTCTTTTCTTAGGCATTTCTTAATTGACAGTATTTTACTGGCTGGAAAGAATACCCTGGGGTGTCTATATTTCTTCTAAATTATGCATATAAACCAAACTTCTTTTTTTAGAGCATTTTTTTAAATGTTAAAGGAACCAACTGACCATTCACTTAGCCTGAAATTTTCCTTGGTAAGATTTACAAGTTCATTAGGTTATTTTCTATCTTCTGCTTTAATGTAGGATAAAATTATGTTAATTGTTCTGCTGGTGTAGGACACAGGTTGCCTTTTCTGCAGCCTAAGATAACAATTTTCTCAGTGCTTTTCTTGCCCCAGTAGCAGTCTTCCTGCTTCTCTTCCACTCTCCACTTGCCACCTGAGCTAAAAGATAATGCCAAACATTTTAGGTTTTTTAAAGGGAGAAACCCACTTCCAGGTATTAATTTCTGTTTCAGTTACCTTTTGCTGCGTAAGAGATCACCTCAAAACTGAGTAACTTAAAACAATACTAATATTTTATTTCTCGTGATTCCACCTTAGCAATGTGGGAAGTTCTTCTGCTGGTTCTTCCTGAGATCACTCATGTGGCTTAAGTCTTTTGATGACTACACTCAAGCTGGAGGTTCTGAGATGGTATCAATCAAAGTTTTTGCTACTTAATTTGGCTATGAGCTGGGGCTCCTTGGTTTTTCCATAGTTAACCTTCCATTCTCTATTAGGCTTGGATTAAATTTCACCTTATAGTGGTTTCAGGGTTTTAAGACTGTCAGGGAAAAACCTGCAAAATCTATTGAGATTCACACAAGACTTCTGCCACATTATAATGGGTAAAGCAAGTCACAAAGCCAGTGAAGGGGATGATAAAATACAACTCAGATACTATGTCACATTACAAAGGTTCTGGGTACATGAAGATGGGATTTCTTAGAGGTCATGACTGTAACAATCTGTCACTCTACCTTTCTCCTTCAAAGCACCTCTGAAAGTGTATGAAATTATGAACACTTTTTTAAAAGACTGCATTTTTAGAGCAGTTTTAGGTTGAGAACAAAACTGAGAGGATGATACAGAGACTCCCCTGCCCTCAAACATGCATACCCTCCCCCATTATTAATATCCATCACCAAAGTGGAACATTGGTTACAGTTGGTGAACCTACAGTGACACATCATAATTACCCAAAGTCCATGGTTTACATTAGGGAAATTTTTTTGTATTGTACATTCTATGAATTTGAATAAATGTATAATGACAAGTATCCATCTTTATGGTATCATGCAAAGTATTTTCACTGCCCTGAAAATCCTTTGTGCTTTGCCTATTTATCACCTCCTCCATCCTAAGCCCTGGCAAACACTGATCTTTTTACTCTCTTCATAGCCTTGTCTTCTTCAGAATGTCATATAGTCTGAATTATCCTGAACATAGGCTTCTTCCACACAGTAATATGCATTTAAGGTTCCTCCATGTTTATTCATGGATTGATAACTCATTTCTTTATAGCATTGAATTATAATAATATACCATTGCCTGAGTGTACCACAGTTTAATTATCCATTAATGAGATCTTGGTTGCTTCCAAGTTTTTGGCAATTATAAATGAAGTTGTTGTAAATATTCACGTGCAAATTTTCTTGTGGACATACATTTACAATAATGTATATGCCAAGGTTGTTGGGTAAATACCAAGAAGTGTAATTGCTGGATTATTGGGTAAGTATGTTTAATTTTTTTAAGAAACTGCCAAACTCTATTCCAAAGTGCCTGCGACATTTTGCATTGCCATCAGCAATGAATAAGAGTTCCTCTTGCTCCACATCCTTGCCTGCATTTTATATTGTCAGTACTGTAGGTTTGGGGCAATCTAATGGATGTGTAATGGTGTCTTTTTGTTGTTTTAATTTGCATTTTCCTGATGGCATGTGATGTAGAATATCTTTTCATATGCTTTTTTTTTCTTTGCCATCTGTATAAAATGAGAGGTGTCTCATTTTCTTGGTGACGTGTCTGTTAAAACCTTTGGCCCAGTTTTTAATTGAGTCATTTGTTTTTTTATTGTTGAGTTGGTAAGAATTCTTTGTATATTTTGAATAGCAGTCCTTTATCAGATGTGTCTTTTGTAGATATTTTTTCCCAGTCTGTGGCTTGTCTTCTCCTTCCCTTGACATTGCCTTTTGCAGAGGAGGTTTTAATTTTAATGAAGTCAAGCTTATCAATTATTTCTTTCATGGGTTGTGTCTTTTGTGTTGTATCTAAAAAGTCACCAACCTATCTAAGGTCATCTAGGCTTTTTCCTATGCTAACCTCTAGGAGTTTTATAGTGTATTTTACATTTATGTCTATGATCCATTTTTAGTTTTTTTTTATTTTTATTTTTATTTTTATTTTTATTTTTGAGACAGGTTCTAACTGTCACCCGGGCTGGAGTGTAGTGGCTTGATCCTGGCTTACTGCAACTTCCACCTCCTGAGCTCAAGCCATCCTCCCACCAATACCTCTCAAGTAACTGGGACTATCAGTGCACACCATTACTATGCCTGGCAAATTTCTGTAATTTTTGTAGATATGGAATTTTGCCATGTTGCCCAGGGTGGTCTCAAACTCCTGAGCTCCCGCCTCACCTCCCAAAGTGCCGAGATTACAGGCATAAGCCACCACCCCTGGCTTAGTTAACTTTTTGAAGTATTACTTTTAAAACTTAACTGTGAGATTCTAGACCAGTGACACAACTGGCCCTGATTAATTTTGAAAATGAAAATAATTTCCTGATTGATTGACTTCAACATATCATTCACATATGTAGGATTATAGAGTTTTAGGACAGTGAAGGTAATAAGGTGATATCTAGTACAAATTCACTTCTTATTCTTGAATCCTTTCCATCACTTCACAGTGACTCTTTTTGCTCAAATCTGTAGGTGTTAACACTCTGCTGCTCTACAAAATTTTCATCTGAGCCCATCTACTACTATTATTCCTCTTGTTCCTCCCCTTCTTCCTCCTCCTACTATGAAACAGCAATCTTTCCTCATTGCCTTTTATGTGCCAATTTCTTTTCATGCATTAGTTTTATTCAACAACTTCATAAAATGTATATTATGTTTAAACCCAAGGATATGAGATGTAGAAACATTAAGAAGTAGGCTATAAATGTGGGCTTATCTATACTCAGTCTGAGTTTGCTCCACTTTCCCTAGAGAATATTATAAAAGTCTCTTGGATTATAAAGGAAGAATATGAGGAAAGCAGTTGACCAGAAAAAATAAATATTTACTAAGCACCTGCAAATGTCAGACAGCGAAATATAGCACTTCAGTATAATGTCCATTTTGGTCTCAGTTTTCCAACTCACTCTTTACCTACTTTTGCCTCCTCCATATGTCAAAATTATAAACCCTTCCTTATGATGCACGCATAGTTTTCAATTAATGTTTATTTCTCATCCTTAACCCAGAAAACTCAGAGTTGAATATCTGTGTACTGTTTTTTCTCTTCATCATTTTTCCCCTTTCCCCCCACCCCACTGATTATATAAGTGCAGCATGAGGCATTAAGATTTAGGAGTTTATGGATATGACATTATATTTGTAATAGTTCTGACCTCTGGGCCTTAGGTTTGTTGTTGTTATTGGTGGTGCTGTTTTAAATCAGTATAGTTAGGTGTTTGGATCATCTTTTAGTAAAACTTCCAGGAAAGATGCCTTCAGGATCCAGGTTGCTACTTGTGGGACCAGCACTGGCAGCTTCTGCTTGAGTAGGAGAGGAAAAGAGAACAGGTGATCAATGAGGAGTCCAGGGACGGGACAACTCAGTGAACATAAATAACAGAGGAAAGAAGAAGGAATGTAAACTGTCAAGGGGGCATTACTTCTTTCTTTCTTTTTTTTTTTTTTTTTTTTTTTTTTTTTTTTTTTTTTTTGTCCCTCTTCTCTTTTTTGTTAAAGAAAAGAAAAAATCTTTCCGGCAGCTTTGTAGCACCATCTCAATCTCTTTGCATCTGTTGTTATGCTCACTCAGATTCAGGAAAGTCACACGTATCATTTTTCAAAAGGCACAGAAAAGAAAATATTGCGAACTGACAACCCTTTTAGGAAATCCACTTCGGACTTGGAATTTAAGACAAAGTGAAGTGGAGACTTACACAATCCTCCAGTGGATTTTGATTTGAATACTAAGGCTCTTCAACACTGCACTGCATTTTCTCTGTAATTTGTGCACACACACACATGCACACACACACACACACAGAGGAGGTAATGGCTCCAAGATCTCTCTATTTAACACTTTGGACCATTGCAGAGACTATTCAGGCAAAGAATACCAGGAAATAACGTGAATTTCATTTTCATCTCCATCTCCATCTAGTGGTTCCTGCTGTGCACATCTTTATCTGATGGGAAGAACAGTCCAGCATCCTGGAAGAAACAGAGTTAGGATCTTCACAGCAGAAACCACTGTATGGAAATTAAAATGAAAGTGGAATTCACATTATTTCCTAATTAATACTGGAAGCCTGATGTTTCTAGAGAAGTGCGTCCGTGCTCCATTTTACTCTCCATGTGTAAACATTTGACATTTTAAAAAATTGAAGAGGGAGATCTAATTTTGAAATTTTCTCATGAAAATCTACCTTTTCTTCTTGCCCTTCCTAAAAAGTAACTATATAAAGGAGATACGATAGTAGAAGTTAGAAAATTCAAAAATCCTTTGTATATTATAGTATTTCTATATCTTTACTAAATTTGGTTTCAGTAAATGAAAACTTGGTCATTCTATCCTATTGAGTTGTCTTGTCTTGAAGAATGAGCAGGTGACCCTCCGAGGCATGCAAAATGGAAACATATTCTACAATGGGAAAAAGAAAACAATATGGACACGGGTATCTCATGGGCTCTCAGGAAGTAACCTGTAGCACAAAGAGTCAATTTTCTCTATTTCTGTCTCTGAGGCCTTACATACTCTCTTCTCTGCTTCATTTTGTACATTGGTTTTATTTATCTCCTCAAAAGAGCCTTACCTCCTCTTAAATGCTTATTAGAGCCTTTGGAAGCTAATTTTAAATTCTCATAAATGAGATTCTGATGGATCCAACTTGAGCCAGATTTCTACTCTTGGTCCCCATAGCTGTGGTTATGGGGGAATAGGGCCACATGACCTGATGCCCCTTCAGTGGGAAGGCAGATGGTCAGATGAAGAACTTTGGGTAGATATTTTGCTAAAGGTAACATAGAGTAGGAAAAAAATATAATTTGTGGAGGAAATAACTGATATTTCTGGTGCATTTCATCTTTTTCTAGCTACGTGTTTCATTGCCATAGCTTTTGCTGAGTAATACACAGCTCCAAAACATATAGCATAAAACTACAAGTGTTTATTTTTCCTGTGTCCATGGGTCAGCCAGGGCAGTTTTGCTGTTCTGGGCCAGGCTTGGCCGATCTTGCCTGGGCTCATTCATGAAGCTGCTGCTAGTTGGCCAGTTGACTGGGGACTTGCAGGTCTAGGATACCCTCACGGTGGATCCACTCATTTTCTACTCATGTGGCCCCTCATTCTTCAGCAGACTACCTCAGCTTACACTCATGGCAGAAGGCACACAAAGAGAGAGTAAAACAAAGCACAGCCTCTTGAGGCCTAGTTTCAAAACTGGCGTGATAATGTTTCAGAGCATTTCATCGGCCAAAGCGTATCTCCAGGCCAGCTCTAATTTGAGCATTTCATTGGTCAAAGTGGATCTCCTGTCCAGCTCCAATTCGAGCATTCATTGGTCAAAACATATCCCCAGGCCAGCTCTAATTCGAGCATTTCATTCGTCAAACCCATCTCCAGGCCAGCTCTAATTCCAGCTTGGAGAAATAGATTCCATTTCTTCATGGGAGGGGCTGTAAAATGACATTGCAAAGGGTGTTGTGGCTAGAGGGAGGTCATTAATTTGTGTCACCAATGCAATAATCTATAACACTTGCATCTTTATTTACCTCATCCATTTATCATTAAACCCCAAGCTATTCAGAGGGGCCATGTCTTCTCGGATTCTCTCCAGGAAGCTAAAAGTTTTCCAGTTATTTTTCTTTTTTATAATAAATCTTTTTAAGATACGTACACCTGCTAATATCTTCAGGATGATGTTTCTTTTATTTTATCCCACAATGTTTACACTTTGTCTTTATTACTTCTTTAAATATACTCTTTTTTTGTTCGTTTATAATATTGGTTAAGAGTAGTATGTATGTATGTATTTGTTTATTTTGAGACAGTTTCTCACTGTTGCCCAGGCTGGAGTGTAGTGGCATAATCTCCGCTCACTGCAACCTCTGCCTCCCAGGTTCAGGCAATTCTCTTACTTTGGTCTGCTGAGCAGGCAGGATTACAGGCGCCCAGCACCACGCCCAGCTCATTTTTTGTACCTTTTTTTTTTTTTTTTTTTGACAGAGTCTTGCTCTGTCTCCCAGGCTGGAGTGCAGTGGCACGATCTCGCTCACTGCAAGCTCTGCCTCCCGGGTTCACGCCATTCTCCTGCCTCAGCCTCCCGAGTAGCGGGGACTACAGGCACCTGTCACCACGCCCGGCTAATTTTTTGTACTTTTAGTAGAGACAGGGTTTCACCGTGTTGAGCAGGCTGGTCTCAAACTCCTGACCTCGTGATTCGCCCGCCTCGGCCTCCCAAAGTGCCGGGATAACGGCCTTGAGCCACTGATCCAGGCGAAGAGTAGAGTTTAATTAGAATTAAACTGCCTGTGTTCAAATCATACCTTCACCATTTACTACCTGTGTCACTTTCAGCAAATTACTTTGACTTAAATTCTCTTTGTCTCAGTCTCCTCATCAGTAAGATGGAAATAATAACCACCTCATCCTGTTTTATGAAGGTGAAATGATTAACTATTTATAAGCACTAAAAATAGTACCTGTCACATAGTAATTTTCAGTAACTGTTATTATGATTGTTGTCATTATTATTTTATCAATCTTTAAATGAACAAGAACGTTTCCAGACTCAGTGCTTTGATTGAGCGGATTGGCCTTTGGCTTGCCTTTTTTTTTTTTTTTTTTAACTGAGCAAACTTCTCAGATCTACAGAGCTGAAGAACTAGATCGGGGGTCTAAACTCCAGGGCCACAGACTGGTACCAGTCTGTTTTAGGAACCAGGCTGCACAGCACGAGGTGAGTGGTGGGAAGGTGAGAGGTGGCGAAGCTTCATCTGTATTTACAGCCCTCCCTGTCGCTCACATTACTGCCTGAGCTCTGCCTCCTGTTAGATCAGCAGCCACATTAGATTCTGATAGGTGCACAAACCCTATTGTGAACTACGCATGTGAGGAAACTAGGTTGTACGTTCCTTATGAGAATCTAACGCCTGATGATCTGTCACTGCCTCCCATCACCCACAGATGGGACCATCTACATGTAGGAAAACAAGCTCAGGGCTCCCACTGATTCTGCATTATGGTGAGTTGTATAATTATTTCATTCTCTAGTACAATGTAACAATTATAGAAGTAAAGTGCATAATAAATATAATGCACTGGAATCATCACGAAACCATCCGCCCACCCCCGGCTCCTGGAGAAATTGTCTCCCATGAAATTGGTCCCTGGTGCCAAAAAGGCTGGGGACTGCCGAGCTAGATACTGTGCAGAGATCCTAGCGTCTTTTTATGATCAATTCCCATTCACCTTGGGCTGTGTCTTCTTGGGAGTTTTGTTACTGGGTCTACACTGTCAAGGCTGCAACATTTCACCTTGAATGCGGGTCTCTCTTGCCCTGGTTCTCTTTTACGCAGATTGCTTTGGGACTTTCAGATACTAGAACACACAGGATGAGGGCATCAAAGAGGAGCAAGGGGGAAAAGCATCACCTACAGAGATCCTTGATCAGAAGCAGGTCCTGCTTCTCTGCCAGGGGAATGTGGATCAGGTTTGGTGGCCTTCTAGCATCTCTCATTCTGTCAAGGTTGTTCCATGTCACAAGATGGCATGCACACAGGGCACCAATTGGTTAATACACTCAGCCCTGTCTGACTTCCAATTATTGAAAATTCCTTCCAGATTCAGGCCTTGGGTTGTCTGTCAATCTTAGTTTATGGGGTCATAAATTTACATCTTTTCTGCCCTTACATAGTTCTTTTAGTGAGAGTTCGGGAGAGGCTTTGTCCAAGGCTTCTAGACAGAGGCCATTTTTAAACCAGAAACTTTGTTCACCTAATTGTCAAGTTTATTTGGCTCTTGTTTTTATTCAACCTAAAAATTTGGATGTGAACATTACCCAGGAATAACTCCTTCTTAAGTAAATATAGTATGTTATTGAATAAGAAGCACATAGAATTTTAAACTAAGAATTCTAAGGTTTCCAGAAAACAGGTTACCCTCTCATGGAGTTTTCTTTTAGGGGTAAGTGACTTGTGACCCCCTAATGAAAACAAACTCTAAGATGTCAGTGGTGATAGTTGGGTATTATTTTTGTTTAAGAATTTTAAATATCGTAGGTATAAGACTCTTGTAGCACAAGTAATATTAAATATTTGCACGTCTCTGAATTATGGTTTTTTCCCCCCTTTTTTCGGGGGGAGTTGGGGGTTGATTCAAACAAGAGGTAAAGAAATATATCTTTCTGGTTGAAAAGAAAAATTCTAAAATGGATATTTTTAACTTGTGCAGTTTTTAGTTTCTAAATCTGTCACTAATACGGGAATCATTTTTGTGTGTGGCTGGCTGTTATTTATGAAAAAGTTGTATTTTATGAAATGTT